AACTGGCAAAGTCGTCAACTGAGTTTGATACTGATATTTTTACTTGCAGTTTAGTGAAATTTATAAAAATGCTAAAGAGCATCCTCCATGTTAATAGTAGGTTAAGTAGATAATTGTTTAATGTATGTTTTGAGTAAAATTATTTCCTCACATTATAAGTTAGATTGGTTTACATTATCGTGTTGCTTTGTCAGTTATAAGAACCATTGTGTACAAACTCAGCACATTTGTCTTGCTTAGTCGTGCGCGCATGGCTTATGTTGCAAGCCAGATATATTATATTTTTTTACTTGTTGTTATTTTTTATATAACTTTTTAGCCTGTAATGTGTATTGTGTGCCTAATAAATAAATAAGCTTACTTATTGCTGAAACATGGACTAAGTACACTTTTATACTATACATTTATGAAATCGTTTAGGATATTATGTATATATCAAATTCCAGAGTTTTAAGGCAGGCAAAATTTTGAGAAGAAACAAATCGGACGTTGAGAATCATTTTCAATTTCAAAGTATTTATAATTTATACGATGTTATGTTCGATGAAATATCGCCCCGTGTGTACCCGTCAAGCTGCCACAGACAATCGGACCGATCTATAGAAGTAGCTGTATTGTGTTCGGGCGACCACTGTTGTCCTACCACACCCGGTTCACAATCCAATACATTGGCAGCCATGCATCAAACTGATAGATCATGCTACTGACCGTGAGCGCAACGCGACCGGGAGGCTTATAATTTATTAATAAATTGGTAATGTCCAGAAATTCTACTCTATGATTATCGAAAAATAAATGAAAACCACTCTTTTGTGAAAACCAATACGAGCCCAGCTGAATTCTCAAGGGGAATTTATGAAGTCGCATTATGTGATTTAAAAAAGTTCCGAAGTCAACGATTATGATTCAGCATTCAGTTACTACTCCAGTGACGTGATTAAATAGTAATCAAATTTTTAAGCGACATCAAATAAAATGACGAGGACCTTTGTATTATTCATGTGTGTTACCTCAAAACTTTTTTCTAGGGGACCTATTTTTGAAAATTCTTTATTTATTTGAAAGCTGGTGCTCCTCATATCCCAATTGAATTTACTTTAACCACATTGAAGATAATTTACCGCAAAACAATGGCTTAGTGAATATTTTTGCATGAAACGGAATCTTTGAAGGTAATTTTCATAGGTTTCAAGATGTCCGATTAACTTGAAAATTTGCACACACATCAAGGGCTTATGATAATACAATACTTGTATCCGCTCCAACATCCTGAAGAATATCAAAAAGATAAAAAAAGATGAAATTAATTGTTAGTTCGGTTTGCTATTTGAGCGTGTTTTTATTATTTTATTTATATTATTTATCGTTTTGACCGTGTGCTTTATTCACCAAACACTTCACGAAAACTATACTAACAACATTCGTGTGAACTACGCAAGAATTTAAGCCGTATTTTATTAGAAATTGCCTAAGTAATGCCACCATAGATTCATTTAAACAACAGCGTGCGAGGCGAGCTTGGTTTTTCCACGTAATGCCTTTGAGGAAATTAAATAAGCTGCCAACACTGCAATAAGCATCCTTGAAGTCAACTGAATAACCGGGCTTGTGTGCATAGAATTTTTCAGCACGACAATTTTCACGGATCCGTCAAACTTGTTAAAATTCGTCTTTTTATAATAACTGTTTTAAAGAATGACAGTGTTAGCCTAGCCTATCGATCAGAAAGCGTACTGTAAAAAAATTCCTGTTTCATCATCATCATCGGTCGTTCACTGCTAGACTGCCTCTCTCAATTTACACCACTTAACTTCTTTGGTTCCTCCTCAGTCTATTTTCCTCCAAATGTTTCAAATTTTTTCTCTAGCCGCTTTTACAGATTTACATTAGAGACGTTGAAGTACTTTTGTCAATGCTTAGTTGTATGAACGGGCTATCTGATGTCTAAGCGTTTACCAAAGCGAATAGACAAAGAGTTTTTGAAGGATGGGGCAGCTGTTGTAACTATACTGAGACCTTAGAACTCATATCTCAAGGTAGGTGGCGACATATACGTTGTAAATATCTATGGACTCCGGTAACCACTTAACACTAGGTGGCATGTGAGCTCGTCCATCAATCTACGCAAAAAAAGACACCCATACACCTTGAGATCTGAGGTCGAAATTTCAATTAAATCGTATCTGTCTTATCTTTGAAACTGGAACGCTGGACTGTTTCCCGCCAGAAAATGGCAGGATGGGGATAAATGCCCGCGCGAGCTTACATTATAATATATGATCGGTAGTAAGTAAATCGAGCAGAGAATAATAAACCTTATCATTAGCGAAAAAAGCATCTATCCAATATATTTCTTTGCCCTTAGCTTTGATATTACACATGCCCAAAGGGCTTTTTTTCTTCTCCTTATAATCCTTTACGTGTAATACTAAAATTGCTATTTCTGTATATGATTATTTATATTTATTATAAAACACGAAACACAATAATTAAATTTTACTTACGTTTAAGTACGTGCTTCTAACATAAATTATTAGGATTTATTTATTTATTTTAAAATACGTTAATTTTATACTTTTCGGGCCACTTTAGATTCGTTAATTTACCTAAAGATACAATTTTGTTTGCAAAGCACTACTCTTGCTAGGACAGATCTTGTTAGCAAGTCCATTCAGACTGAGCCCAGCAAAACCGTCCACCAGTTAAGTTGAAGCCAGAATAGAATCTCGAGGCCACTGGCAGATATGTATCAAAAATAAATAATAGTTTAAAACGTTTTTTTTACAATAAATTCATTTTTTCCTACATTATTTTTAATTCATATTTATAAAAATTTATTTTCAATTTTTTTGTTGGATTTTCTATAAAAGCGTATTTATTTAGTTTTTTTAAATATTAATTTTTTTTCATTTTTTAGTTAAATTTAAATTTTTCAAAAATTTCACCTGAGTCAGTCGGTAACTTATCCGAGAAATAGGTGATCGGCGCGCCTGGCATTTCCCTTCTTGGTCTTGACGCAGACACTCCGGGTCTCAGGTAAATAAAAAATCGCTAATCCTGAATATCATAGTACGGATAACGGATCAAACTGCTTAAAATATTGGATTGTTATCGGGTCTTAATAAGTAAAGTCTAATTGCGAGTTAATCCGACGTTTTGAAGGGGAACAAAATCATGTTCAAAGATTCCGTTACATTTTTTTTTATTGCTTAAATGGGTGGACTGGGTCACAGCCCACCTGGTGTTAAGTGGTTACTGGTGCCCATAGACATCTACGACGTAAATGCGCCACCCACTTTGAGATATCAGTTCTAACGGCTCAGTATAGTACAACAGCTGTCCCATCCTTCAAACCGAAACGCATTACTGCTTCACGGCACAAATACTAACATACATAGTAACATACGTATGAAGCTAATAAAAGCGTATTAAAAATACACACGTAGAATGGAAACGCACCTGTTTCACCCCTCATACTAAGTTTAGTCGGTCACCTTTTATTTCATGGAAAATGTGATTTCAATTCACATCCTATGAAGCCTTGGTATTCATTACCTTCACATGCATGTTTTCTCTTTTGAATGTGTAAAATGAAAGCTTGTTTTTGTTTCTAAGTCAAACATACGTCTCGGTGTCTTTATGTATCAAGGGCAACAGTCAAATTGTGATATGCGAGAGATATATAAATAAATATAAATATAAATATTTTACTAACAATCACGCCACTTTAACTGGTCCCGTGATAAGTTCGTAAAGAACTTGTGTTACAGGTACCAGATATCGGAAATAAATGTAAGATTTTTATTATACACATACATATATTTAATAATAATATACATCCATAACCCTGGAAAAGATATTTATATTTATCATACAAATATCTTCCCTTGGCGGGATTCGAACCCGCGACCCCCTAGTGTAGTGACCATGTCACTTACCACTACACCAGACGGACGTTAATTAGATTTAGACGTTGATTAGATGGATTAGAAGAAAAATAATACATTTCTATATTCGAAATTCTTCATTGCGTATAAAATTATCTAGATCAACAATAATAACCCTTCTTCTATAATGACAAACACTCTCGCGATTTTGCTTATCTATATATTTATATTAATACGTGAAACAAAAACTTTGTATACTTTTTTACAAATATTCCGCGGACGGAGGAGTATGAAATTTCCCACACTTTTTTTTTTATTGCTTAGATGGGTGGACGAGCTCACAGCCCACCTGCTGTTAAGTGGTTACTGGAGCCCATAGACATCTACAACGTAAATGCGCCACCTACCTTGAGATATAGGTTCTAAGATCTCAGTATAGTCACAACGGCTGCCCCACCCTTCAAACCGAAACGCATTACTACTTCACGGCAGAAATAGGAAGGGCGGTGGTACCCACCCGCGCGGACTCACAAGAGGTCCTACCACCACTTGTTCAAATTAAATATTAAAATAATGTTGACGTGATCTGTCTTTAACGATTTCATACGTTCGCGATTCTTCAAATTCACATACTCTTGTCCACGTTTTCGTTTCCTTTACTTTTAAAACTAACAAGTTTTTGTTTTATTTATTAACATTTTCCTTCTTTCTCCATTTATTCTTTCATTGTAATTTTATGATTTTGAACTATGTTCGAAGCTATAACTTTACTTAACGAGGGAGTTAGTTTAAAATCGTATACTAATATCTAGCGGAGCGGACATGCAAGAAAGCGAATTAATATAATTAGGACAAAAAAGTGGTACTTCAATTGTCGATGTTTTTGTTCCTTCGGATTTAACATGCATACAGTTCTCATCGCTAATAAATGAAAATCAATAACTACAAAATCCCACTGAATCCACACACGTTAAACAAGAGAAACAAATCATGAAAAGTTCTCTCACGCATAACAAAACATTTAACAATGAATTATTTAAAGACGCTATCAATTATTTTATTTGAACAAACATTACATTGTATTCAAGACAATGGGCAAGTGTGACACATGACTGCAGATTGACAGCAGTGTCATCTGGCAGGTCAACGCGGTAAGGCCTCGAAATGAGGTGGACGACGGTGTTCACAACTATACTCATTACATCGGTAAGTAATAAACTTTCAGTTCTAGATGATAAGAGTCATAATTATATAAAAAAATCCTTACTTCAAAATTGAGATTAAATTTACGAAACCTTTGACTTTTAATCAGTACAAAACGCTGTAGAGATCGGATGTAGATCAGTGTAAATGTTTTAATATGTATAAAGTCGTATTTTTTGGTAAATAAACAAATTTGTCGCCGTTTTTGATTTTGATTATTTCTTCCATAAATTGACAAATGAAGCTTCGGTCCACTTGATGGAATATGGTCACTCGAGCCCTGAATTGGAATCTTACTAATGTTTTTCACGACGTACTCTTTTGTATATTTCCTAGACATCAATGAAAATTAAGATTAAAATAAAAGATCTAATATTTTTAGTCGACACCGAGAATTTATCGTCAATTTTATTTCTTAATTCCCAGCAGCTTACATAATCACATGATAAATAGTTGATTAGTGTAAGACCTGGATACAAGCCCAGGCACATCAAATTGTTCGTTTTCCTATTTAGTTATTATCCGTAGATTTAAGTTCCATAGAGCTAAAACTTTACTTTTTAATTCCGTAAAACCTTTCCAGTTCTATGGGCCATTTTGGAAAACCCTTAAATAACTATTCAAAATGAAATTTCAGACAAATACAAGAGCGCAATCGACGGATGATCTACAAACTTTTAAATTCACAAATTTCGCGCCATCGACGGTAAATTTTCATGACATCTACACGAACACCCTGGCTCTGCTGTCTGACGAACCAACTTTAAGCACAAAAGACGATATCCACATCAGTGGCATGCCCACGCAATTTATCGAGTTCCAGCTGCCTACCAAAACCGACATGTCTACAACTACTCCAAAAATAAATTTTTCCGACACTTCTCAAGTTAGTGAAGGCACTGAAGAAGGTAGTGCAACTTCTACGTTACCCACTACGAGGAAAACGATTGAAAAGGAATTACGCTCACAAAATACTGTTCCTTCGAGGAATATGCAGCGCGGGGTGTTAGATCTACTGCTGCCTGCTTATAGAGTGAAGACTTTCAAGAATGTTTTCGACACTTTTAGAAAAGTTTTATCTTATACTTTTAGGAAATAAAGGAAGGAATTGATATAAAGTTTTATTTTTGTGGCTCTTTCACCACAACGCTTCTTTGTTAGTAGCTAACAGTTGGTTCAGATATTTATAATTGGTTTTGAAAGAAACACGACATAAATTTTTTTATTCGCCAAATCTCGTAACTTGAAGAGCATGAGTAAAAATTATATTATTTACTCTCGTGTTTCACCTGTACCACATATCTGAAAAAACGTAACGTAAAGAACATAGATTTACTGAAATTTTTTGTGCACCGTGACCTGAAAATAATTGATAAGCTTATTAGCAATATATCTGAATTGTTAATGGCATGATAGTTGCTTTTAAAACACATGCACGTCTATTAGCATATATTTAAAATAAGCTTTTTTATCTATAAAGTAGTTTTTAACCAAATTCTATAGTAATTTTACAGTTTGCTTAGCAACTTATTGCGTCACACACTCAGGTACGAACAATACGAGTTTGATTTGAAATCCCATACTGCGATTTCTGACAATTACGACGATACCAAACCACTCGAAGTAACATTGCACACTTGACTGAATCGTGATTCACACTGATTGCACTAATTACACTCGACACGAAAACGCTTAAGCGTTGTCGTACAGCGCTTCGGCGGTTGAGTGCTCTCAAGTGCACGCCGCTTGTCTCCAATTAAATTTTTTGGATTACCGCCAAATGTGCCTCCTGTCTGAACAAGTGGTAAGTTCCTTTGACGTCAGCGTTAAGAAGGCCTTAAAACTAGAAGCTTTAAGACGTTGTGAGAGAAAGTTAAAAATTATTATAGCCAACGAAATAACCATCCTACGTACCAATAGTATAGTAGCGATGGGCTAAGATAAAAGCCACTGCCATAAGTAATGATAAAGTTAAGATGCCACTTGTGTTTACGGATAACAAAGAGAAGCAATAGCTCGATGAAACCTGGGCGTTATCCTCGGATTTTATGTTAATTAGTTAGACAGACTGTAATCATAAAAATGATTTCTTATCTATCTGATTTTAGCCTAAAACCCAAACAATATAATTATTAACAACTTAGTTGTTATTGAAATACTAGGTTAATATTACTTATTCAAACTGCTAATTGAACATAAAGTTTGGCGCATGAAATTTAATGAAGTCACCGTAGATATTGACTGGTCCAACCGAATCCAGGAATGAACAAACATATCAGATATCCATGGCTTCCACAATTCGTAAATGTGGGGTGTTATTATCCCCATAAGTAGGTTCCATTGTCATGTCTATTTCTGCTTCGAAACAGTCACGAACTATTGAATACAATTAAGACCTCAATCTTTTTTTTTTTTTATTGCCCTTGTAGGCAGACGAGCATACGGCCCACCTGATGGTGAGGGGCTACCGTCACCCATGGACTTCAGCAATGCCAGGGGCAGAGCCAAGCCGCTGCCTACCAGTCTCTAGTCTGAGAGGTGATGATCTCTCCCGTAACCACTTAATACCAAATGGCTCGTTACCTTATCTACACATGTAGTGGAATTGAAATAAAATTGAACACTATTTATAAAAATAATCAAATAATCAAAACTCAAAAAAAATGGAAACGACTAAATCGGAAAAAGATTTGTCATAATCAATTACAAAGTTCGAATGAAAATTGTTCATTCTAAATTTAAAGCTGCAACGACACTAGTCAGCAGTTTCGAGAAAACTCGTGAATATAAAATCGTCACCTCCCTCGAGCTGAATCAACGGGAGAAAAAAAACGAAAAGCAGAATTACATCGAACTCGCCAATGTCTCCGATAAATGCCGAAGGATTTCGCCGTCGCAAATCTTATTGGTTTTATTGAATTGATGTCTGGCTCTGCAGCAGGGTAGCGGCGATTAAATTTACTGACTTAAGCCGACCGAGAAAAGGACAGTTTATGGATATAGGTACTAAGATAAACTGTGTACAGTCGGTAGCATAGTTGGCAATTTTTTTATTTATTAGTACTGTGCAAGTGTTCCAAACTAGGAATTAGGAACTAGGAACAAACAAACTAGGAAACTTCTCCTATATTTTGTGGAAGCATAAGAGATATAGAAATCCCAACGAAAACCACGAGTTCGACAAATGTTTCGAAAATATACTGACGATGACCAGAACCAGACCAGACCATAACCCATAGCCTATGGGTCATGATCTGGTATGGCATAGGCCACGCTGCAATCGTGAACTAGATTTTTTTCATAGAAGGTATGGGCATCTGTGAGCTTCAATTTTAATTTAGGTATTACTTGTGATTAAGCGAGTCTAATGAAACAATTGACCTGGTAGACTACAATAGATTCTTTTGTTATTTTAAATTCAGAACAAAATCTCCCGAGACCGCTCAGAGCATATTTTTAATTTTTACTATGTGATGTGAATTTCATGTTATAATTAATTAAAATCTCACTTCATCAAAACTTGTGTCAACACAAACAGTGCAGGATTATTTTTCGAAGCGCAAGTTACTATTGCTATTCATTATTGATTGTCACCATTATTTTCGACATGTCACTGCGGTCGACAACCGAGAAAATTTTAAAACAATAAAAATACTATGACTAGATTGCACAACCCTAACCGGACTTGCATAAAAACTCAAAAATTCATAAAATTCCAAAAATTACCAAATGAATTATTAAAACGAATGAATTACAAAGTTTCGAAGTTTAAACCGCTGTAAGAATCGTAAAGTTCGATTTAATTATCACTAATAGGATGAAGCGAGCCGATGGCGCGGAAACCGACTGAAAACTTGGACAAATTAAAGAGTTTCATTCAAACTGTACAATCGTATACGATTAGATTACTCTTGAGAAGGTCGGGGTTATATTGTGGCGGCTTTATTATTATTGTATGAAATTTTTTCGTATATTTCTTTCTACCTGTTATTACTGGTGGTAGGACCTCTTGTGAGTCCGCGCGGGTAGGCACCACCACCCCGACTATTTCTGCCGTGAAGCAGTAATGCGTTTCGGCTTGAAGGGTGGGGCAGCCGTTGTAACTATACTTGAGACCTTAGAACTTATATCTCCAGGTGGATGGCGCATTTACGTTGTGGATGTCTATGGGCTTCAGTAACCACTTAACACCAGGAGATCTGTGAGCTCGTCCAACCATCTAAGAAAAAAAAAAACCTTTTATTGTTTATAACGATCGTTAAAACAAAACATTTCGACTCAATTGATATTGACAAGGTTTATTTGAAACTTACTTAACATTTAAAATTAGTATTGTTATATTCTGAAATTTAAATTCCAAGCGTAGAGAAGGCGATTTTTTTTTCATCGGCAAAAAAATTGGTTCCTCACTATACGCCCACAGAGTTGCTGACGTGTGCAAGAACGCAAACCGAGATATTAAACTGTGCCATAAATAACGTTTATTCCTACACGATATTCAAATTGTTCGCGGGAAAGCGTGGAACCGTTAAATGAATGAACTTTTATAACTTAGGGTCTCCCAAGTTGCGCCTTAATGCCGACTTTGAAGCCGGGCAGTGATGAACAGAGCCCTTACTTTTAATGACTTTTTGCTAATATCCCACGGTGAGGGTTTGCAAGGAAAAAAGTTCGGACGAACCGTGAATATTGAGGTTTTGATATTTAAAAAGAAACAGGATCCATTGGGAAGTTTCCTCATAAAATGTAATTACGAGCGTGCGTGCTGCGCCAAGGAATCCAACGGAGTTTTACGCCATATTTTGAAGACGAAATTAGAATAAATAATTTCAAAACATTATTTCAACGAAATCATCGCTTACGTAATTGAATAAATTGTAATGTAAATGACTTGCGGGTAACTCGACACCCGGGCGCCGGTTATGCTAATACCCGGACAAGTTGTCACCTTATCCGGCTGACGACATCTGTCGAGTGCCCTCTCAAGTGCAGACAACAACAAGCCGTGTATACATTGTGGCTTTTGGAATGTAGTATTTTTTTTTATTTCTACTTTAATTATTTACTAATATTTTTTTTTTCATTTTTATAAAAGATCGAATTCATAAAATTAAATAAATTGAAAACATCGTGCTTCAAACCAAAAACAGAAATAGTTGGCCACCAAATATGGAGGCGCCACTCGTCTATTTTTGACATTTGCATACCAGCACACGGACGCTCGAGTACGCGCGCTCTTCCGTACAAAGAGAATTTCATGTTTAATTTTCTATTTAATTTAAATTGCCTACGTATTTCCTTTTCTGTCCGACGCAGTTTGGCATAATTTACATATGAGAGTTTGCTTTAAAATTGCAGTAAAATAAGCTGGCTTTGTTTGAGAAATCCATACACGTGAAATTCCTGCGCTCACAATGCGTAAAGTATTTTTGGTTTGTAAACATGAACAGATCGCATGGAGCATAATCTCGGTACTTTATATTCAGTCCGTTTTAAACAGTCATGTCTAAGATACTTAACGCTATCTTGATCACGGCTTATTTCGCCCTTTTTCTTCAATATTTAACAACGATTATTTCGCATCAAGACGTAGATATTATTGAGGTAACATACGCAACTAAAACTCCTGGATTCATAAAGAAAATGAACAGAAACTACAAAAAAAAACGAAACAACATCACAACAATGAGATTGAAATACAAAGTCCCATTCAGACTGCATACTGACCTTAAATACATTCTAAGGTGGACTGAAGGTTTTTCACAATACGATCAACAAATGTACAAGAGTGGTCAAGAGACATTCATACAAAATAATTGTAGTTACATCAACTGCTATATGACGACCGACAAAAGTTTGCTCGGCGATCCGAGAAATTTCGACGCGATCCTCTTCGACGTGGAAAACAATTGGGACGAACATCCCACATTGAGAAGATCGGAGCAAAATTTTATATTCATGGCTTCAGAGTCGGCTAGCAACTTCCCTGTTTGCCATCCGTACTTTGATTCCTTTTATAACTGGACGTGGAGCTATAAACTGGATTCGAATATTTTAAAAACATTCTTATATATTTTTGACAAAAACGGTAGACCAGTTGGACCCAAAATAGCCATGAAGTGGATTGATCCAATGAAACCAACATCCAATGACGTCAAACTGAGACTTAACGGCAAAAATAAAGCAGTAGCTTGGTTCGTGTCCAACTGTCGAACCAAGAGTCGTCGAGAATATCTTGCAAATAATTTGACCAGAGAATTGAAGAAACACGACATGAAAATAGATATTTACGGTTGGTGTGGTAAACTGACCTGCCCGAAAGATCGCATGGACGAATGTTTAAATATGTTAGAAGAAAATTATTATTTCTTTTTGGTATTTGAAAATTCTCTAAGTGAAGACTATGTCACAGAGAAATTAATGCATGCATTACAGCACTTTACTGTGCCGATCGTCTATGGCGGCGCTAATTACTCAAGGTAAGTTAAAAAGTAATTCTTTTGAAACTTCATCTTTGAGCCGACAGATGTCCACTACTGTACATAGCCCAATCCTCCCTCCGCCAAGCCTCGCCACAATGATCGGTCCTATGCAAACCGCATCCAGTGGATTCCCACGACTTTCACCAGGTCGTCGGTCCGCGTTCTGGAAGGCCAAAAACTGGGGCCTTATTTTTATTAGTGTCATCCATGTTGGGGAAGTTACGAATCCGGAGGGGATGCTATTATTTTTTGAGCCCTTTTGAGACTTGGCCTACTTGGCCAAAGACTTAGAATTACTAAAACTTTATCAGTTTTTTTTTTTAATTTGAATAATTCTATTTAGGTTCTTACCGTCAGGCTCATACATAAATGCAGGTGAAATGGATGCGGAAACAATTGTGGCTAAAATTATTGAAGCGATAAAGAATCCAGATATTTATCAAAATTATTTCAGGTAAATCATTACGTTAAATTTATAAATTTTAATTTTAACATATTTTTAATACACAAAAATCGTTCGAATTCAGAATTTATATTTTGTTAAGATTGAATTTTTCCAAATATCTGCAATGTTTTACGTCGGCTTTCCAAACCGGAAAAACGGGAAACACATTACCATACAAAAAGTACACTATTTTTTGTGCATATTGTGCGTGCAGGCAAGAAATGCTACAAAAATGTCAAATTTATTTAGTGGCTGCTTCAATCATGTATTTGCCAATCGTATTTAAAATAAATCACTTAATATACTTTTACCGCAGGTGGCATAATCACTACGTTTACAAACGCTCATCGAAAGTTCCAGAAGTGTGTACATTGTGCGAAATGCTAAACAAACCAGACCAGAGTACAGTCGTAAAAGACTTCAGAAAATGGTGGAATCCAAATTACCAGCAATTGTGTGAAAAAGATTTCAATAGAAACGCCTATCAATTTATAGGACAGTAATTATTTGTGTACTACAAAAATTTTGTTAAAATCGTTCCATGGAAGGGTCACTTGCAGAAATGTCGTAAAAATTAATATTAAAGCTTGAAGAAAAAATCTAAATCTCTCATCTTACCTTTCTCAATAATTTAATGTATTTTTAAGGCGGTAACATAATTGTAGAAATCAAAGTAAATTGTAATGCTACTAAATAAACGAGGCTTGTGGAGAGTATTAAGCAGTAGGCAGCGGCTTGGCTCTGCTCCTGGCATTGCTGAAGTCCATGGGCGACGGTAACCACTTACCATCAGGTGGGCCGTACGCTCGTCGGCCTACAAAGGCAATAAAAAAAAATACATTATAAAATTTTTGTGTTGAAATAAACTCTTTTGGACCAAGTGATTAAAAAGGCATCATAATATCTGGTGAGTTCGAAAAACCCAACTCCTACGCAATGGGCCTTACGCTTCTACTATGAGAAGATAAAGTGACAATAATACGGCTTATATCTGTCACCTATTGATAGAAAATTAACACTAAATCTACGAATAAATAGAATTATTTATTCGTAGCACTAAATACATACTCGTAGTATAAAACAAAAAAAAGCACGACTTGTATTACAGGTCTAGCTAATAGAACTGCATTAAAAGATGAAACTACAATGTTTTTTTTATTGCATAGATGGGTGGACGAGCTCACAGCCCACCTGGTGTTAAGTGGTTACCGGAGCCCATAGACATCTATAACATAAATACCGCCACACTTTGAGTTATGAGTTATAAGGTCTCAGTGTAGTTACAATGGCCGCCCCACCCTTCAAACCGAAAGGCATTACTGCTTTACAGCTGAAATAGGCAGGATGGTGGTACCTACCCGTGCGGACTCACAAAAGATCCTACAACCAGTAATAATGTTGTCTTCCTTTAAAAATGGGATATAGGCCTATAACAATAAAATAATGATCGTATTGCGAATACTAAAACGCAAAATAACCTACACGCTAATGAGACAAAGGAGATTTTAAAACTTAACATAATTATAGGTAAGTAAATTATACAGTAAATTAAAGTAATATATATTTATTTTATTAACATATTTTTAAAGTTATCGAAGTATTGTATTAAATTATTTTCGTACAGCAATAATGCCACGAAATCTTATCTTATCTTATCTTATACCTTTAAAAGAGCAATTCTTGTATTTTTTTTTTTTTTTTTTTTTTATTGCTAGATGAGTGGACGAGCTCACAGCCCACCTGGTGTTAAGTGGTTACTGGAGCCCATAGACATTTACGACGTAAATGCGCCACCCACCTTGAAATATATATTATATAAATATATATTGTATATTAATATATACCTATATAATCTGAATCTCTGAAACGGCTCCAACGATTTTCATAAAATTTAGTATACAGGGGATTTCGGGGGCGAAAAATCGATCTAGCTACGATTTATTTTCAGAAAATGTTGTTTTATTCGTGTTTTCAATAATCAACTCTTCCCGACATCTGTTGGCGAATAATAATACTATTTTTCTTAATTGAGGGCAACTAACCGCTTTAAAGACACAACAAGATGGCGTTATCAAAAAAAAAACCGAGCAAGGCTCGGTCATAATCTAGTATAAACTTACGATTTAATAACTTAATTATATAATTAGTAGGGTTCTAAGAAAATGACATTTACATACTGCAAAAAAAACTTATCATTTAAATCGTAAAACTCCACAGCAATCCTCTTAGTGCGGCCTCATTATTCATAAAGTCGATTCGGCGTAATTCCAATTAGGCTGGACTCATCATCGCCCCCGTTGCTTTTTTCGCTGAAATATAATTAAAATTCCCGCTGACACCTACAAAGATTAAAGCCATTATATCTCGATGACTTGTGGAGAAAAATTACGACGAGTCTTATTTTTCAAAATTTATATTACCGGCTTTATTGAGGCAAAATACTGTTTAAATTGAATGACCTTGTTTCAACTTATGCACTGTAGTGTTTGTGATAATATATTGGCTGAAAATAATTTATTATTTGAATGGTTCTTATGAAAACTTGCTTGAGTAGTAAGTAGGTAGGTCAGTTAGAAGTCAGTTTTTTAAGGAAAAAATAATAATGCCGCTGTTTAAAGTCAACAAAAAAAATTATTTTATAAATTTAAAATAGACTAAGAAGTTGGATAGTTTATTTTTAGCTTGAACCAAAATCTTGTGTGTTTATTGTTTAAAAAAATCTTTCAACGTATTGTCACGTCATACCCCAAGACTTTTGTTTAACTCGAAATATTCACACGTTTCAAGGACCAAATTAAAAATTTCAAATAATATATTTTTTTCTATTATACTTTCTTCGAACATCCTGACCAGAATAAGTAGGGCAAAATTATTCAATATTTTTTTTATTACTATTAAAGCGAATATTTCTTAATATTTAAACTGAAAATGATTTGTCCTCTTAGGTCTTTTTCAACATCTACCCACTTTCATTATTTTTGAATACTGGAACAAAGCGTATATATTTAACAAAACACAACATTTTATTTCAAACGTTAATTTAAGAAAACTACCAGCTTCGAATTCAAACTTTGTCCACGAAACGCGTGAAATATTTACGAAAGCAACAGAAACATTATCAAAGTTAATGAAGTTTACAGACTTCATCTAACTAACAAACTTAATCATAAGTTTCAGGGTAGCGAAGTGTGTTTATAATGTAGGTACTACCGGTGCAGTGATGTCGTACATCATTAGACGCACAACATCAGAAACTTTATTTAAACTGCATATAACTGTGTAACGAGACAAAGGCGAATACAATTTTATTCAAACTTTCTGTAGAGGTTGCCGCGCTGTTAAATCCGACACTAAGAACCCAAGCAAATAATTGTGAATTTTATCATAACAGAGACTTAGATTTTAGAAAAATTCTGAACACACCAAATATTAATAAATAAGAAAGTATTTACCGTTTACATTACAGATTTGACGACTGATTCTTTTCTCGTTTACTCGGCAAGGCATCTATCTATCCATGTTGATTTGCGTTTCACGAACCGTCACCACCTTGATGTGGGTTCGCTCGGTTATTGTAGGCCTTGGATTGACATATAAGGATGGACATTAGGAGGGCAATGTTCCCGATTGACTTCCACGGTGAAGGAATAACATCGTGTAATAAAAATCAAACCCGCAAAATTATAATCAGCGTAATTACTGGTGGTAGGTCCTCTTGTGAGTCTGCGCGGGTAGGTACCACCACCCTGCCTATTTCTGCCGTGAAGCAGTAATGCGTTTCGGTTTGAAGGGCGGGGCAGCCGTTGTAACTATACTTGAGATCTTAGAACTTATATCTCAAGGTGGGTGACGCATTTACGTCGTAGACGTCTATGGGCTCCAGTAACCACTTAACACCAGGTGGGCTGTGTGAGCTCGTTCACCCAAATAAGCAATAAAAAATAAATAAATAAAAATTAAGAAATACAGATATGGGTAAAATATCTCAGAACACACGATGAAAAAGTAACTGTAGTGGGTCAGAATGACCGGAACACAATACCCGTATCTTATCATTAATACGAATAAAAAATTATTGTTTAAGTTCTGAATCTGACTGAACCCTGAATCTGTTTTATTTTTTAAGCAATACATACATTCAATATTCACCGTACCGTAAGTATTTCCTTTAAATTCATGTTAATCATAATTAAAACTATTTTTTCGATTTTCGGCTTTTCGATTTCTGGAATAAACTGTCGAAGAAACAAACTGCCAAACTTTAAAATACGGTTTTTTATTTGTGTGTGTACGTATGTATATGTAAATTTCGAAAAATATTTAATGGAAAATTTGATGGTGTTAGCATAATAATCATCGCTAATATTGGCGAGTACCAACCGCCTTAGTGTACATGAAAACTGTATAATGATAAAGACGAGATTCAGTCATAAAAGCGGTTTTAATTGCATCTGAAACTCGCGAAAACCTAAGAAAATGCATGTTAATCTGCAAACTTTCCGTAGTTCCGATAAAACTCGCAGTTCGCTAATAAAATCACGCGGTTACAACACTTGTAAATTAGTTTCTTCGGCACTTTCGCGTTAATTTCTTCACTACAAGATACTTAACTATACTGAGACCTTAGAACTTATATTTCAAGGTGGGTGTCGTATTTACGTTGTAGATGTCTATGGGTTCCAGTAACGACTTAATACCAGGTGGGCTGTGAACTCGTTCACCCATCTAAGCAATAAAAAAATAGAACTTGTACATATAGTCAGAATTCTAACATAAGTAAAGTAAAGCCCGGCCATACTTCGCAGAGCCTTCGGTAGATATTACTCGAAGCACACCAATTCGTTGCAGTTACTCGCGTTTCACCCCGTTTCCCTTAAAAAAATAGTACTAGTATCAATTTGACATTGAGCAGTATACGATCATAATATGTTTCTAGACTTTAATGTTCAAATCAAACATGTGGGGATAGCGACGTAGAGAAGATCTTCCACCGAGCGGGCGCATTTGGTCAGTAGACCTCGGTAGAACTTGTATACATAATATGTTTAAGCAAGCTATCTTAAAAATATCATAAGCGAGATTCAGGCATCTGTCAAATATCTTGTGCTCTACGAGTATGAAGGCTACCCGCCACAAACATAATTTTTTTAATAATAATAGTATCTGTTACTATGTACTATTATTATTAAAAAAATATTCCCATTCGTCCCCAACTCCGTATCCCGACAAGGATCTGACACTTAGTTTTAGTGTATATCGAATCCAATCACGTCATCATCAAGCCTGAAGGATTGCATGCCGTGTGGCGAATTTTTTCTACTTAAAAACAAGAGTGAACTCTAAGTACCTAATGCAATAATGCAACATATGAACAATTCAGCGCACTTGCAACAAAGATTAATGGATAGAGAAATTAATTATTTTTAATCGATATTTAGTTCAAATTTCTCGATGCTCCTTGCTTTCCCTAAGTTACTAAATAGTTTATATTTTCATATCTAGA